TGAAACTTCTTTGCCAAACAAGATTTTCTTACTTGAAAAATTTTTCAAGTTTAGATTGGATATGTCTAAGGACATAGAAGAAAATCTAGATGTTTTCACCAAACTGATTTCTGATATTAAATTAACCGGTGATAAACATATTGATGACTACACCCCTATTGCTCTTTTGAATGCTATTCCTGATTCCTACAGTGATGTTAAATCTGCAATTAAATATGGTAGAGATAATATTTCTCTTGATGTTGTTGTAAATTGTCTCAAGAGTAAGGAATTAGAGTTGAAAAATTCTAAGAGTGATAAAAATTCTGGGGAGGTTATGCATGTGAGGGGTAGAACCTTAAATAAGTTTCAAAACCATAAACATGCTAACAATGATAACTCAAATGTGAGAAAATTCAACCAGAGAAGGGGTAAGTCTATATCCAAATCTAAAACAAGAAAATGCTACAATTGCAATGAATATGGTCACCTTAGTAATAGTTATTCTAATCCTAAGAAAATTCAGCAAAAAGATCATGTTAATATGTCTAGTGAATCAAACAACTTTGGTGATGTGTTAATGATCAAAGATTATGCTTATTTGAACTCTGTGTTATCGGATTATCTGTGTGAATCTGATTGGCTAGTTGATTCTGGTTGCACCTTTCATATGTCACCATTTAAAAACCTTTTTTCAAACTATCAAGAGATTGATAATGGTATTGTGTCCATGGCTAATGAAAAGAAATGCAAAGTTTTTGGAATTGGAGATATGTGTCTTAAATTTGACTCTGGATCTATTGTGATCTTAAAAAATGTTAGACATGTTCCTGATTTGTCCTATAATTTGCTTTCTTGTGCATCTCTTGAAAATGATGGTTTTGAGGGAAAATGGGGAAAAGGTGTTATGAAAATCATGAAGGGTTCAATTATTGTTTTCAAAGCTGAAAAGAAAAATAATTTGTATGTGTGCAAAGCTGAACCTGTTTGTGAGCATGCTAATTCTGTGGTTGATAATTCTGTTCTATGGCATAAACGGTTGGGTCACATGAGTAATAAAGGACTTGAAATATTGCATAAAAATGGACACTTGGGTAGTGATAAGCTTATGCATGTTCCTTTCTGTGAATCTTGTGTGCTTGGAAAACAAACCCGCGTTAGTTTTCCTAACCC